ATGCGTTTGAGTTTGGGTTTGGGTGTGTATATTTTTTTCCTTATTTTAATTAGATCTATATCTAATCTATATCTTGTATATTATGTTTTCACGCTCAAAACACTGAATTTATTTTGACGAAATTCTGTATCGAAATTGTCCAAACTCTAAAAAAGGTTACCTTTCACTCCACTCCTGGACACGGGTTTCCGCCCATGCGATGCTCATTATAATTTACGTAGACAAACCCGCGCTTTACAGTTAGTTTACATCAACTGGTTTGATTTAGTAATTCAAACATATAATAACAGTTTCATCTTGCTAATAATAAATAAACAATAACATAGATAAAACTAAACTATATATTATTATGTTAACTATTGCTAATAGTGGCGTTTGCGGCAATACACGGTTGTTTGCATAAGAGTCAGTGTGTTGCGCAAACGAACGCTCTGAGATCGTGGTCAATTAATGATAAAAAATATGTTATTCTTTGTACGTTATTACAAAGTTAAGTCGTACACTGCGTGCATTGCTAATAAAAATCTTACGTTACGGACGTTTTTTCCCGGTTAGGGTACCCCTCCGCATCGTCCCATAAGGAACTTCGTTCCAAAAAAAATAAAACACACGCTCTTAGCATTATATTTTTTATTGCTTTAACGAAGTCTTCGTGACCTAAAGGATAAGACGCACGCACGCCTTATTTGTATTGAACGATCGGATTATACTGGTGTTCAAATCCCGCAGGCAGATAAAAAATGTTCTAATAATATACGTACTTAACGCATATTCACGTGTAACAGTCACGATGAAGGAATAATAATAATTATTATTATTAATACTTTATTTCAGTTTTTTTTTTTTTTATAACCATAACATTTTGTTAGTAATAATTATTTAGTTGTATTAATGCGTTTTATGCTCAATTACCTTCGGTGGTTGTGATTTGGTAGGTGGTTTCAAATAATGTAGGTACACTCCGTACACAAACACAAACAGTTTATTTAATCACATACACACAAGAAGTTAACAAAGAGAAAGAAGGAGTGACAATCACAGAGATAGTTTATACAACAACAAACAAATTATCGAAAAATAAATACTTTTTGTCCGAACGATATGATGTGTAAACAATTCCAATCTTTTAACTAACTGCCCTCACACTGGCTCACACATTACACCAATCTCGTTCGTATGACGTAGAATTGTCCGTTTCCATTATGTCGTCGCGTCGTCCGTCAGATTCGTATCGTAACGTACATAATGTAAACGTATTTTGTTGTGTGAATGTATACAGTACATGTTAATATTATAGTTATTGTTATGTTATATTGTTGTATATATTATGTGTTGTGTAATTTATATATAGTAAATTAATATATTATATATATATATATATATCTCTCATGTTTATATATTGTATATAATAAATCCAAAATAATATTTAATACTTATGTGGAGTAAGCCCACAATTACTTATAATCTATGTTAGTAACTTAAAAAATCTAACACATAACTATCATTATATACATTTTATACCATTATATATATTTTTTCTCTTTCCAAGTGCCTACTGCAAAGGCTATTGATCAGCAGTCCCTCGATCTTGCTCGATATGATTCCCAAAAGACTGTTGCCACTGTCACGGACTCGACGCAATAACGATGCACTTTTCTTCTATAATAATTCACTTTCATAATGAAATAGTATAATAAAAATGAATTCCGCCAGAATTGTAATTTTTATAATTTGTTTGTGTAACTTTTAATGTACCTTCTGTGTTGCCCGGTGCTGTAGAACGCCGGCTAAGGGGAATTCTCGCTTCATTGACTTTGTTATTGACTGTATTCGGAACCGATATTTTTACTTTATATCGAGTGCTCTGAAAGGAAAATTTAAGTTGATAATAAATGAATATATGTGTGTCGCAGAATGGGTCGATATCTACATTATTTATTACTGGTGGCAGGACCTATTGAGTCCGCACGGGTAGGTACCACCGCCCCGCCTATTTCTGCCGTGAAGCAGTAATGCGTTTCGGCTTGAAGGGCGGGGCAGCCTTTGTAACTATACTGAGACATTAGAACTTATATTTCAAGGTGGGTGGCTAAGTTGGTATTATTTGTTCAATTGCGAAATGAAGTCGGAAATCGTGGGTCATCTTATTTTGAATCGTGTTTCGTTGCTCCTATAGTATAATATTGCATGCATTGTATAAAATTTGTATTTTTAAAGTGCTCTTATCAGCATAACCAGTATCAATCTATCAATGTACGGGAATATTTCAACGCAATTTTATTAAACTCCAAGACGTCTGATAAGCTTAAAATATGCACACGTATCGATGACCGATATAATAATATATCATTTACCTAAAATTTTGATCATAATAAAAATCCTAATGACTTAATTTTATTCAAACGCGTCTATGTAATTATTAATCTAAATTCATTTATCTTTATCAGATATTTAAGGATAATTTTACCGGGAATCAGCCATGGAACCATTCTAGGTCACCACAATATCCTACCGGTATATTTTTTGAGAAATAAATGAGCCATCAGTTCCTAAAACTTCTCAATTTGTACATTAAAAAAGTTAAGTTGAAACATCGAATAATCACGCAACGTTTACCAGATACCGTATTAATAACGAGGCTTTAAATCCTACAAGCGGAAACATGGGACGCCATTATCCGATAACCTTGCATCGGTAGTAAAATTAAACGGACTATCGATATTCGGTTACGATTTTACGTCATCACGAGATATCGATTTTGATTTAATCGAGTCATTAATCAAATGTAATACTGTTTTGTAAATTTGAGTAATGTCATATCAGTATTGATTTTATATACGCTTTTCATCGTTCGAATTGGGAAGTTGTGTTCGCGTTAACTAAAACTACAAACCTAATAAGATTTGTTAGAGCAATGGCGCGGCGGTTCTTACTTTGCAACTAAATTACTGCTTCTCTGCAAACCTAGCTAGAAATTTAGTAAGTTCATTAAATGGCCTCTTGCAAGTCATGATTGTTTCTCGGCAGTGTCGCCAGATGGCACTATTCTCTAGTTTTTTGAAAATTAATAGTACACGTCAATGTTATGTATTTTAAGTTATATTTCAATAGTGGCAGTTTCGAAACAAAAGCGAAAAGGACAGATATTAATGTAGAAATTTCCATAATTATTAAATGTTGTAGGATCTTCATTATACTTCATCATATTACGTGTCATATTCTTTGTTCGCGGCGTGAGAAAATTGAATTGTGTTAGTAATTAAGCTGACCTCGTGTTAAAAAGTACTTAGTGCATTCATTCGCGGCCCGCAGAAACGCCCGAACAAAGCAAACGAAATCATTGACGTATTTTTTTTCCTACCATAGCCTTGAGAGGCTATTTCAGCGTAACCTTAACTAGTAAGTGAGCTCACGGGGCTAAAACCGGAGCGATGCTACCACTGACCGTCGCAAGAGAGGTGATTCGCAGAAACTACCATCGGATCGGAAACGCGACCCACTGAGAAGATCCGGCGAGAAACTCAGTGGTCTTTGATGTTCTTTTTTTTTATAATTGAAGGATTACTGGTGGCCCGGAGGCCTTTCCAGTTTCACCAGGACAGGTGGGCGAGCAAAAGCTCAGCCAGAAGGGGTGGGATTTGCTAACAGCTGCCCGAGCGCCTCCGAAGGAGACATAACAGCTCAAGAGCAGCCGCTTCGCGAATGAATCTACTACCGGATCGGAATCGCGACCCGCTGAGAAGATCCGGCGAGAAACTCAGCGAGCTGATTCATGGGTTAGGTTGCACGTCGAACTCTTTGTCAAGTTCGACGAGTACGGTTACCGGGGTCCCTAAGCCTGCTGCTAACTGCTTTGATGTATTAAGAACGCCTTAATGCGTCAACGATTCCAAGACATTATTATAGTTATGTCTCTGTTGGCTGTAGCGGCTCGTCTACTTAATAGTCACATTTCTTGTACGGTATTATTGCATAAAACTATCCACGAAGCTCTGCGTTTGTATTCGTATTCTATTATTATTATTAATACTTTATTTGTTTTTTTTTTTTTTAAACCATAACATTTTGTTAGTAATAATTACTTATAATCTATGTTAGTATTTTAGTATTTTACTGGTGGTAGGACCTCTTGTGAGTCCGCACGGGTAGGTACCACCACCCCGCCTATTTCTGCCGTGAAGCAGTAATGCGTTTCGGTTGGAAGGGTGGGGCAGCCGTTGTAACTATAATTGAGACCTTAGAACTTATATCTCAAGGTGGGTGGCGCATTTACGTTGTAGATGTCTATGGGCTCCAGTAACCACTTAACACCAGGTGGGCTGTGAGTTCGTCAACTCATCTAAGCAATAAAAAAAAAAAAATTGTAACTTAAAAAATCTAACACATAACTATCATTATATACATTTTATACCATTACTTTTTTTTTATGCGCGGAAGTCTTTTAAGATATGGCGGTTAGCTACCATACAATACAAGCTATTTGACAGATGCCTGAATCTCACTTACGACATTTTAAAGATAAGATATATTTTGTGTATGTATTTTTTAAAAATTTTTTTATTGCCTTTGTAGGCAGACGAGCATACGGCCCACCTGATGGTAAGTGGTCACTGTCGCTCATGGACGTCAGCAATGCCAGGAGCAGAGCCAAGCCGCTGCCTACCATTAAGTACTCTCCGCAAGCCTCGTTTGAAGAAAGACATGTCATAGCGCTCGGAAAACTCGGTGGAGGGGAGCTCATTCCAAAGCCGGATGGTACGTGGCAAAAAATATCTTTGGAAACGCACTGTCGATGAACGCAGCGGTTCCTGATAATATGGATGAGCTCTGCTCCGATGGCGAGCGGTGCGATTTATAATTTAATATAAATTTCATTGCACCTACCACTATTTACTCTGCACTACCTTTGGTTGACTGTTAGAGAATGCCTCACGCATTAAGTCAGCCATTGTACCTTTGTACATAAACTTGAATAACTGAATTAATTTATATTGTTACAGAGGGTACTAGAACCGGCAACGTTCACCGTATCCGCTGACAGACGGTTCCTGCTACTCGCTCAGAATATTCGAAAACTCCACCGACACTCCTACATCGCTAGATACACTGTCTACGACATACTGACCACGTGAGTATTACCTTTTTTTTTATTGCTGAGATGGGTGGACTAGATCCTATAGACATCTACAACGTAAATGCGCCACCCACCTTGAGATATGTTGTAAGGTCTCAGTATAGTTACGACGGCTACCCCACCCTTCAAACCGAAACGCATTAGTGCTTCACGACAGAAATAGGCAGGGCGGTGGTACCTACCCGTGCGGACTCACAAGACGTCCTACCACCAGTAAACGAAAGTTATTTGAACATGAAAGTAATTTGCTTTAAAACGCCACGCTGGTCGGTGCGGGTTGGCGAGTCCACTTATTTTAATGGCGTTTAAGTCCTTGGGGCTTGTGTTAGCCCTATCTGCGTTCTTTGCAGAAGTCGGGATATCTCACCGCCGTCCGATGCTGGGCGTTAACTTTTTCCGGTTGGAAAGGTCACGTTCAATCAACTTACTGAAGCCCATAGACATCTACGACGTAAATGCGCCAGCCACTTTGAGATATAAGTTCTAAGGTCTCAGTATAGTTACAACGGCTGCCCCACCCTTCAAACCGAAACGCATTACTGCTTCACGGCAGAAATAGGCGGGGTGGTGATACCTACCCGCGCGGACTCACAAGCAGTCCTACTACCAGTGATTACGCAAATTATTATTTGGCGGGTTTGATTTTTATTACACGATGTTATTCCTTCACCGTGGAAGTCAATCGTGACCATTTGTTAAGTACGTATTTCATTAGAAAAATTGGTACCCGCCTGCGGGATTCGAACACTGGTGCATCGCTAATTACGAATGCGCCGGACGTCTTATCCTTTAGGCCACGACGACTTCGTGTGACGACGTCGACGAAATGTATGATATAATATAATATAATGTATGTATATTATGTTGTGTGATTTTGAACAAACACCCGAACATACTAAATCCCGAACTAGAATTCTATACAAATACACAATGTGAGCTAATAATTAAATTAATACGAGGTCTCGAAGCCAAATCGAGGCCAATTGAATAGGTAATATAATACTTCACACCAACTAACTCAATATTGTACCGTCTCAGTATAGTTACAACGGCTGCCCTACCCTTCAAACCGAAACGCATTAGTGCTTCACGGCAGAAATAGGCAGGGTAGTGGAACCGACCCGTGCGGACTCACAAGAGGTCCTACCACTAGTAATTACTACAGCAACACCGAGACAGTCAAAACAGTCTTAACAAATATAATGAAATATCTTATATAAGTGCGTCGGAAACTCACTTTTAACCAATTAAAACAATAAGAAAAAGTGGTTATCTATACTTAATATTATAAAGCTGAAGAGTTTGTTTGTTTGAACGCGCTAATCTCAAGAACTACTGGTCCGATTTGAAAAATTCATTCAGTGTTAGATAGCCCATTTATCGAGGAAGGCTATAGGCTATATAACATCACGCTAATACTAATACAAACGGAGCACCAATAAATAATGTATCAAAATCGCGATTTTTTTCTTTTTACGTAAATTAAGTCGCGGGTAAAATTTGGCTTTATGCCAACGTAACTATTCCACGCAGACGAAGTCGCGGGCAAAAGCTAGTAGTATAACAAAACTCACCAACAAGAATATTCCCAATACATCCCTTTCCAATATGAAAGGTGGTAAATATTAATTTAACAAATTACATGATGCCCCGTGGGAAATAAAGAAAACGGTTTGATAAAACTCGGGCGGGCTCAGCCCTATAATATACGGGGTGTATCAAAACTCTTCCCGATAGCATAGATGAGTGGTTGTTTTGGGAGTTACTCGATAAATAACACACGAAAAAGAATTGATGCGTTTCAATTTCAATTGGTTTGAAAGTTGGAACACCGACTGTATTGTCAAAAACTTAGGGTTTACAACTCATGTCTTAAAATGAGCGGCGTCATTTGCATTGTAGATGTCCACGGGGCACAGATGAAAAATATTTGAGATCGAATCATAAAAATATACTAAAAATACTTATTAACACACAATCATATATACAAATAAAAAAAGATGTGTGGTGTCATGGGACACCGGATAGGAACGAAGGTCCTTATTATAAATATTAATTTTAAGTTCTACTCTAGGTATAAAGAAAATAAAACTGGAGGTTTCGCAATAACCCACGGTCATTCGGTAACGTGCGAACTTATTGTGGTACACTTCATTCACGGTTGTTTGCATAAGAGTTAGTGTATTGCGCAAACGAACGCTCTGAGATCGTGGTCAATGAATGATAAAAAATATTTTATTTTTTGTACGTTATTACAAAGTTAAGTCATACACTGTGTGCATTACTAATTTGTACGTTATTACAAAGTGAAGTCGTACACTGTGTGTATTACTAATAAAAATCTTACGTTACGGACGTTTTTTCCGTTCCGTTCGTTTTTCCGTTCGTTATGGTACCCCTCCGCATCGTCCCATAAGGAACTTCGTTCCAAAAATAAATTATGATTCCGCAAAAACTCACAGCGCTAACTAATAATTGTAACTAAGCTAATTAAGAGCTGCTACACAATGTAACGAAGCTACAGAACTAAAAACATTTGTTAATTTAAAATATTCAGAGCATAGGACATAGAATATGCAAATGCAGATGTGTAATATTTTTAATGCTATTTTAATACTGCTTGTTTATCTAGCCCTCACGGGACAGCCATATCCTGATCTTTTATATGCATTGCGAAATAAATATTATCCACAAGAATATCCATAAGGAGAAGAGGTCGTACCACCAGTATTATTGGCGAATAATTAATGATAGTTTTTTTTATTGTTACCTAAACAGATAAACAAACGAACTCACAGGTAAATGGTTACCGTGCCCATAGACATTAAAACCATGAAAGATGCTAACTTACACTGACCAAGTACTTCAAGACTTGACATGTATTTCTCAATCGCCAATTAAATACGCTCAATACAATTGATGTTTATTACACGATACTATTTCTTTATCTTTTTTTTGGGTCAGGAGGAAATCGCCGGACTTCCGCCCTCCACTGGGGATGGAGGGCGAGGCATGTCAGAGTCGCACTGACTAAAACCTCCTGTCGCTCAACAACCAACGTCCAAACCTCGCATGATACAGAACTCATGAAGAGGCAGAGGGAGGAAAGTGAAGCGTTTAGTGCAGAGCGTTTAGTGCACATCTCTCCCATCACCCTCCCCCTCGGGACGCCGGACCGGCGGTTGTCGGCGCCACGACCACCAGCCCTCTCGGTCGGCAGGCTATCCGAAGCCCACCTAGATGGCGCCGGTTAGAGTGAGTTATCCTACGGAATACCCCGCTGGACCAGAACCAGCGTGGGTCGAGGATAGCCGGCCTTCCATCACCCGGATGCTCTTGCGTAAAACGCGTGCAGAGCAGCTTGCACGTCGTCTTCTTAGGCCCCCCTCGCCTGTCCCCAGACCGAAATGCCTATTTCTTTATCTTGGGAGTAATTCGTTAACATGTTTTAATTCATTAGAAAATTCGGTACATGACTGCGGAATTTGAATATCGGCACAGTGGCATCGCTCGATAAGAGTATTTCAATCGTACTTTATAAATTAATCATATCCGAACGACAGAATTTCTTTAGCATAGTTAATATAGTGCGAAAGTGCATAGTGCATAGTGACAACAGTAGCATAACACGGCATGTTGTGCTCTAAAAAAAAAAAAAAAAAAACATTCTACATTTAATTATTCTGTGCACATAGCCGGTTTGATTAAAAAGTTTTATTTTATCGTAACCGGACTGCAGTGCACTCTGAATTGCGGTGATTACATTAAAGCTAGCGCCGCGCAAATACATTACAGTTTAAGTTTTAATGCGGTTACGTGTTCATAACATCAGTTTTAATAGCTGCAGCTCATTTGTGTTATACTTTTTAGTTGCTCTAAATGCAGCTAAGGCGCGTATCTTCGCCCTGGTGGTAGTCAGTAGATCTTAGAGAAAACACTGATTATAAATCTGCGTCTGAAGTGATAAGTTTTTTATTATTATTATTTACACCAGTAACCGATCTACTTAGTATTAAGTGCATATCAGAGTCCATAGTCATCATGTTAATGCCGCCTCTCCCCATAAAAACAGGAGGCTTACCTCTCAATCATATAGTATAATGACTATCCCAAGCTTCAAAGCGTTACGTAATAATGCTTCGTTGCAGGCACGGTAGTGCTACTTACCCTTGCAGGCTCACAAGATACTCACCGGGGTATCCCGGAACACCAGCGGCACCGCCTGGGGTGGCCTGTCCGGTTGCCGTACCGAGACGGCCGACGTAGAGTCGTTGACTATCGCCTCGACGATCCGTCGGTCGGGCGTCCTAGGGGTGACGCCGCGAGTCTGGTTGTAGTGTTGACCGTGGGAACCCCACTACTCTGTCTGGGTTCTGACCCCGGACTGAGATCGGACGACTGGTGAGAGAGTGCAAGGGGAGTCGTTTGGTGGGTAGGGCCCTAAAACATCCTTGGGCCCGCGGTCTGCTCTCAGCATCTGCAGACCGTCAAGTCCCACATACCCACATACCCCGCGCGCCCCCTAGGCGCGGGGACATCGTAAAAGGTCGGCCCCGGCCCGAAAAAAAAATGCTCACAAGATACTCTATCAACAGGTTATTAATAGCTTACCTCTGTTCACCACTCTATTTGTTTGCTGCAAAGTTGTTACCCGTTCGTAATATGAAAACCAAGATAAGGTTGGTTTTAGTATTGTGTTTATTATGTTTATTGGCTCTGTTAACCGCCGAGCATTAATCCAGGTGAGGCGAGGTGAAGTAAGGCGTGAAAACGACTGCTCAATAAAGCTGTTTAAAAAAAATAGGCCACTACAAAAATCGGAACTACTTTTGACCTCGGGTGTACTTTGTGAGTCGTTCGTACTTTAATAATTAATTACCACACAATACGCACGGTTTGGTCGACTCGTGTAGTTTGTCGGGTCGGGGTAAATTCGACTTACGCGATATCAGAAATCCCATTAGCCGGTTGAGAAAACCCACTGAGTTTCTCGC